TGTACATCTATTATGTATCTTCTATAAATGTATTCCTTCATACATTTTTGGATGCTAACACAAATACGATTATTACCTGAATTTCCTTTTTGGATTCTTCATTGCTAGTATATAGAAATACAACGGACTTTTTAATGTTGATCCTGTATCCTGTGATCTTACTAATTCTAGTAGCTTTTTTATATGTTCTTAAGAATTTTCTAAATACATGACAACTGCAAATAAAGTCAGTCTTGCTTCTTCCTAATACATATTCCTTTTACTTATCTTTTTTTTTTCCTTTATTACACTGGTTAGGATTTCCAATATAATATTGGACATAAGTGGTCAGAATGAAAATCCTTGCCACATTTCTGATCTTAGGCAAAAATAATTCAATCTTTCACCATTGAGTATGACATCAGCTGTAGGGTTTTTGTAGATGTTATTTAAATGGTTAAGAAAGTCTTCTACTGCTAGTTTGCTAAGAGTGTTAGATTTTTTTTTCAAATGCTTTTTTTTTTTCATCTATTAAGAGGGTCATATGGTTTCCACTTCCATTCTGTACAAGTAACAGAAAATGTGAATCAACTGGTTTAAACCATAATGACTTTTTTATCTTATAAAAAATCCAGTGAAGGGGGTGATTAACTCCCTTCTGTGGCTGAAAGATGGCCCCAGTAAGTGCTGCTTTTGTGTTCAATCATTTGCAACATGTTGTTCTGATTGAAGTATAGGAGGAAAATCTCGACTCACAGAGATGTGATTAATATAAGCCAACCACAGTAATTCCATCCCCTTATCAGTGGTAGAAGCAGAAAGAGGTATTTGACCCAATTCTGCCTGCTGACATGTGAGGATACAACGGACTGGCTACATGCTGACCAATTCTGGCTCCTCTTTTGGGGCACAGACTAAGACTCCATTTCTCAGCCTCCTAATGCTGTTAGGTTAGGGTGGGGAACTGGTTTTGGCCAATGCAATGTGGGCAAAAATAATAGTTGCCACTTTGGGGCTTAGCCCTAAAATGCAAGTGGGATCCTTAGGTCACTCTCTCCTTAGTCACCCATAAGGCTAAAAGAAAATGACTCCAATATCGTGGAAGCATGTAAAAGAAGGATCCTAGATTCCCAAGAGAGCCACCCAGCTTGCACAGAACTGGAATGTGAGTGGGAAATAAGTTTTTATTGTGTTGAGCCACATGGTCATTGGGATTGTTTGTTACAGCATATAACACCAAGTACTATGGCTGATACAGAGGGGAGGTTTGCTGCGGGGGGTTCTGGGACAAGTATTCAGCCCTTAAAGAGACAAAACAAGGAGAAAGTCCCTTTCCTGGCTCTGGACGCTGATGTCTCCAGCCGTCTTCCAACCGCAAAAGGGAGCTACCCTGTATGCTGAAGAAGGAAGAAAAAAATGGGGAAAGAGACTGGAGATCTGATGATGCCAATGAGCTTCTGAATCAACCAGCCCTCACTGGATTTTAAGTGAGAGAGTAAGCTCATTACAATTTAAGACAGTAGATCCATGTTTTCCGTTGTTTACACTCAAAAACATCTTATCTGATACAATAACAGAATAAACTCATCAGTTTTCCTCCAGCCTACTCCTCTTCTGGTGTTTCCTATGTTGGTGAAGGGTAACACCATCCAACAAGTTACATAAGCCAGAAACTTGAGTCAACCTTGATGCCTTCCTCCATCTTGCTGTCCATTACACCTGCTGTTGTAACTTTCTACTTCATCAACACCACCCTGATCAGAACCAACACCACCTGTTTCCCAGACCACCCCAGTAACCTCCTGGCTGGTCTACCTGTTTCTCTCTGGCTCACCTCTAATCTTTTCTTCACTTCGTAGCCAGAGCAGAGGTTTCCAAGATTGTAGTGGGATCATATCATCCCTCTTCTCTACCCGTTTCTGCTGAAAAGTATTTGAAGGACTTTATTTTCCCATTTGCTTGTAAGATAAAGATGCGACATCTTAAAAAACCCTGGCAGTCTGGTCCCCACCTGCCTCACTGGTCATACCCAGCAACGAACACCCACCACAGGGGAGCTTCTACTGGCCCCTCATCCTTGTCTCACTCTCTCTAGCCCCAGGGTCTTTGTACATGCTGTTCTCTCTTCCTGGAAACTATTCTCCCTGCTTTTTCTCTTAGTTAACTGCCTCTATCGTTTCTCAGGAAAGTCTTCCCTGGCCTCCCATGTAGCTTCGTAGCATCAGGTACCCTCCCCCTTGGTAGCATTTGTCATATCTGTAATTTTACATAGATTGTATGTCTCCTACTAGCCCTTAACCTCTGCGAGACAAGGGCTATATTTGTTTACCTTGGTGTCCTTGGTATCTAGCAGAATGCCCAGCACACAGTTAGGAGCTTCAATAAATCTGAACAAGAATGAAATGCTCTTAGAGCACCTGGGTGGCTCAGGTGGCTCAGTCGGTTGAGCATCTGACCTTGGCTCAGGTCCTGATCTCGTGGTTCGTGAGTTCAAGCCCCACATCGGGCTCACTGCTGTCAGCCTGTCAGCACAGAGCCTGCTTCGGTTCCTCGTCCCCCTCTCTGCCCCTCCCCTGCCTGCACTCTTCCAAAAAATAAATTTAAAAAGAAATTAAAAAAAGAATGAAGTGCTTTATGAAGAAAGGGTAAACACTCTTAGTGTCTAGAATAGTGACCCCTGATCTTGTCTAAAGGGTTAGAGAAAGTTTCCCTATGGAATTGCTAATCGAACTGAGTTTTTGTTTGTTTTTAAGATTTTATTTGTAAGTAATCTCTACACCCCACGTGGGGCTCCAACTCACAAGCCTGAGATCAAGAGTCGAGTGTTCTACTGACTGGGCCAGCCAGGCACCCCTGGGAGTTCTGAAGGACGATTAGATAACTAGATGAAAGGGGAGAGGGGGAGGGGGCCTGGGGCAAGGAGGAAGAAGCCCGGTAGTGGGTATGCATATACATGCTCACACAAATGAGTAAAGGGCGGAATGGCTGAAGCTTAGAGTGAGGCAGAGAGCAGAACAGGAGACCAGAGGGTCAAGCAGGACCAGGCTGTGCAAGGAGTTATGGGTAGGATAATCCCATAATTTAATGTCTAAACTGGAGTACTTTTCAGCCTTTTAAATATTCCTTTTCTAAGTTTTTATTTTAATATGATTTCAAACAATGAGATGTTGCAAGGATAGTTCAGAGAAGTCCATGTACCCTCTCCCGATTTACTGTTTACCTTTTGTCCATTTGCTTCGTGATTCTCTCTACATTTATATATAAACGATTATTTTTCGGGATCACTGGAGAGTAAGTCAAGGGACATCCTGGACTTACAAGGACATTCTCTTTCATGACTACAGTGATAGAAACAGGGAATCTAATACTGATAAAACGCTATCATCTACTCCACATCGCAAGTTGGACATGGTCAGTTGTCTCAGTCCATTATAGCTCTTTCTATCCTGGTCCCATCCCCAATTCTAGATCTCACAGTGTCTCATCAATTTATTTTAATCTTCATCCAGGGCCGTTTTGGCAGTCAAATACAGTGCCATCAATAATTATGCTGGGGGACGCCTGGGTGGCTCAGTCGGTTAAACATCTGACTTCAGCTCAGGTCATGGTCTTGCGGTTCGTGGGTTCGAACCCCACATCTGGCTCTGCGTTGTGGGCAGTGCAGAGCCTGCTTGGAATTCTCTCTCTGCCCCTCCCTGACTCACGCTTGCTTTCTCTCTCAAAAAAGTAAGTAAAAAATAAAAACTTAAAAAAAATAATTATTATGCTGGTCTGACAGGCACAATCCTAGTCAGGCAAACCTGGCCGTGTGGTCATGCTACTTGCAGGATATAGCAAAGGATTTGAAACTTTGTATCTTGTGAGTAATGGAAACCATTGAAAGGATTACACATAAAAGCAAGTTAGAAACTTGAGTTACTTCATGTTTCAACTACTTTCACTTCATTCATTGGGAAGAAAAACTAAAATGGTGGTAAATATCTGTGTAATATTTATTAAGAAACAATTGCATCTAGAGTTGCTCAGAATACCTTCTAACTTAAACCTTGAAGAGTAACCAACTACGGTACAAAATTGCAATTCTCAACCTGATGCCCATAAATCAGGTAAATAAATCAAATAAATCCAAAAACACTCTGAACCCCTAAGCAAAATATAAAGGTATGCGCATGTGGTGATTTCAAAATATGTCTACTGGGGCAGCCAGCTGGCTCAGTCGGTAGACCATGTGACTCGATCTTGGGGTTGTAGGTCCAAGCCCCATATCAGGCGTAGAGATTACTTAAAAATAAAATACTTTGAGGGGCGCCTGGGTGGTGCAGTCGGTTAAGCGTCAGACTTCAGCCAGGTCACCATCTCGCGGTCCGTGAGTTCGAGCCCCGCGTCGGGCTCTGGGCTGATGGCTCAGAGCCTGGAACCTGTTTCCGATTCTGTGTCTCCCTCTCTCTCTGCCCCTCGCCCGTTCATGCTCTGTCTCTCTCTGTCCCAAAAATAAATAAACATTGAAAAAAAATTAAAAAAAATAAAATAAAATACTTTGAATACGTACAAATAAAAAACTTTGAAAAAAAATATGTCTACATCTAACAATTCTTTAATACATCTCACTTCAAGAAGTGCAACTTAGGGGTGCCTGGGTGGCTCAGCTGGTTAAGCATCTGACTCTTGATTTTGGCTCAGGTCATGATCTCATGGTCTGTGCGTTCAAGCCCCGCATTGGGCTCTGTGCTGACAGTGCAGAGCCTGCTTAGGATTCTGTCTCCCTCTCTCTCTGCCCCTCCCCCGCTGGCGCACCAGCTCTGTCTCTCTCTCTGTCTCAAAAATCAATAAACATTAAAAAAAAATTTTTTTTTAAAGTGCAACTTAATTTTCCTCTACGTGAGTATGGATTGGACTTAGTGACTTAACAAATAAAAATGTGGCAAAAGAGACGATGTCACTTGTGAGACTAGCTTTCTCCTCCTCTCTCTTGGAACACTGACACTGGGGGCAGCCAGGTGCTATGTCATGATGACACTCACAGTGAAGAATGAGGCCTCCTGCCAACAGCCATGTGAGTGAGCCACCTTGGAAGAAATCTTCCAGCACTGGTCAAGACTTCAGTTGACTGCAGCCATGGCCAGCATCTTTGCCACAAGCTCGTGAGACCCTGAGGAAGAAACACCCAGCTAAGTGGCTCCTGAATTCCTAGCCCACAGAAACTAAGAGATAATAAATTTCATTATTTTAAGCTACCAATTTCAGGGTAACTTGTTACACAAAAGATAATTAATGCAGTGCATTTAGCTGAGGAGTCTATGATTTTCATCAGATTCTAAGTGAAATTAATGACCTGAAAAAGGGTGAGAATTATTACTGTAAAACCAGTACTGGATTTCTAAGTCTTTGGTCCTCATCCTAGAGTTTCTATGGGCTTATGTATGTATTTATTTATTTTCCTATGAGTTTATTTTGTATACAATTTGGGATTAGGTTCAACAAATGAGAAGATTAAACTCTCCAAACCACCGGAAGACTCAAAAGAATGTTTAAAAATGCTGTCTCAAGAACAGGCAGAGAAAAGCAAACCTTACCCCAACCTATCAAACTACGATCTAACAGAACATCTAATAGAAATGAAGTAGTTTTCATTTTCAAAAAGAAAAGGCTACCATTAGACCTAACGATGATTCTGACATAACAATACGTTCATAAATTACTGTTACAGAAAAAAGCCAAGTTATAGAACAGTATGTTCCCATTACAGAAACAATGTATTATTCGATGGATGTATAGATGGATATGTCCAGAAAAAGTTCTAGAAAATTACAGGCATTTTCCGGCTATACGCAGCGAAAATTCATCGTGGCTATCAAAAAAATAAAGTTTATTATAAAATTCTAGGGTAGGTCACAAAATTGACAAGAGGGGAGGCGGATCAGGGTCTATAAGTGGACAGTAAATACAGGCACAGGGCACAATGGACCCAGTGCAGTCATAAGGATGGTCTAATAAGCTGCCCCAGAAAAGAAGACCCCATTTGTCCACAGGCTTCACAACTTTCCAAGTCCTATGGTGGAATCATCCAAGAGGCCAAGAATTTCTTTGGTAACAGACAATCTATGAGTATCATGGTCTATTTAGAAGGCTTAAAGCATTAATAGGACAGAAACAATGAAAAACTTCCTTTTGAAGGGACAGATGTATGGGCTACACATGTACTAGACATCCATACTTCACAAAAATCAAATGGCACAGACAAGGAGTCTTCTGCTCAAAGTGGATATTTTAAAATACTATAGTATGATTTTATTATTGTTCCTGAAAATAAAGAATTTCTGGATATTGTGAAGTGGGTTGTAAAATTGCTCATGTCCTATCTACTGGCTAAATACAATCAAATATTGGTCCATGCAATTTCGAAAAGGCAGGAAGCAAGCCTCCAGCAGAACTGGGTGAACAGGAATGCCGAAAAGATAAGGGCCCTTCCCTATCCCGACAACTCAAAGGTACTTCTTCAAAAGGCTAAATAAAAGCAAGAGATAAAATTGCAAATAAAGAAATGTAATTAAAGGACTGTTATTTCAAAATCAATTCTATTTTAAAATAAAATAGGGCGCCTGGGTGGCTCAGTCGGTTAAGCATCCGACTTCGGCTCAGGTCATGATCTCACAGTTCGTGAGTTTAAGCCCTGCATCGGGCTCTGTGCTGACAGCTTAGAGCCTGGAGCCTGCTTCAGATTATATGTCTCCCTCTCTCTCTGCTCCTCCCCTGATCATGCTCTCTCTCTCCTTTAAAAATAAAAAATAAAATAAAATAATTTCCATCTTAAAGGTCCCCCCCCCCAAAAAAGTTAAAAAAATGAGAAGTAAAGCAGTGATTTTCATTTCCTTTGGGCAAACATGCCATGGTAGGTTGAACACTTAAAAATATCTCCTAAAACAACGGATCTCACCTGAGTTTGTACTTCAACACTTAAAATAGTGCTCATTTCTACTGGACTATTCTGGATGATTTACAAATAAATATATTTTGAAGTAGATTGTTTGAGGTGGCTGGGTGGCTCAGTCAGTTAAGCATCTGAGTCTTGATTTTGGCTCAGGTTGTGATCTCACAGTCGTGGGATGGAGCCCCACGTTGGACTCTGCGCTGACAGCACGGGGCCTGTTTGGGATTCTCTGTTTTCCCCTCCCCTGCTTGTGTGTGTGTGCATGTGCACTCTCTCTCCTCTCTCTCTCTCGAAACAAATAAATATTAAAAATAAAAATAAAGATTTTTTTTCCCTATAGTCATACAGGAGAACACGATAGTTTCTCTTATACTGTGCCGTGAATAATTTTGCATGCTCTACTGAGCTATTATGTAAACAGAGCCACAAAGTATATTTAATCTTTTCCCATCTTTCCCTGTTGTTCAAATAGCAAAATTAAATGTAACGATACAAGCCAAACTACCAATGCCTTACACTCTGAAATTTCTGGATGGCATGTTTTCTATGTAAGACCTCCCCTTCTAGTATTCTATGGGACAACTGCTTTAGAGGTTGCTTAATAAAACAGAAACTCACTAACATTTATTCATTCAACAAATATTCATCAAGACCCTACTAGGTATTAGGGCCTGTGCTAGAATTAGACATTTTATTTTCCTTGAAAATAATTATAGTCTGTAAATATCTGAAGCAGAGAGAAGTCTGAGGCTGTTCTTCATTGAAAGAATCCTTCTCTCAAAACCACAATGAGATACCACTTCACAACTGTGAGAATGACTAGTATCCAAAAGAAAACAAGTATTGGTGAGCATGTGCAGAAAAGGAAACCCTTATGCACTGTTGGTGGGAATGTAAGTTGGTGCAACCACTGTGGAAAGGTACAGACATTCCTCAAAAAGCTGAAAACAAACTACCATATGACCCAGCAATTCTGCTTCTGAGTATATATCCAAAGGAAACTAAAACACTACCTCAAAAATATATCTGTACATCTCATGTTCACTGCAGCATAATTTATGATAGCCAAGACATAGAAACAACCTAAGTGTTCATCAATGAATAAAGAAAAAGTGTGTGCATGTGTGTGTGTGTGTGTGTGTGTGTGTTCACCCCCCGACACACACACAATGGAATACTACTCAGCCACAAGGAAAGCAATCCTGTCATTTGCAACAGTATGTATGGACCTTGAGGACATTATGCTAAGTGAAATTAAGTTAGAGAAAATTAAATAGTGTATGATCTCACATATATGAGGAATCAACAAAAAAACCTAAGCTCATAGATACAGAGAACATATTGGTGGTTGCCTGAAGTGTGTGTGTGGGCGGGGGCGGGGCGGGGGGGGAGATGGCAATATGGGTGAAGGGAGACAAAAGGTACAAACTTTCAGTTAGAAGTCATGGGGATGTAATGTGACGGTGACAATAGTTATACTGTATTGTGTATTAGAAAGTTACTAAGAGAGTAAATCTTAAAGGTTCTCATCACAAGGAATAAAATTGAAGTGTGTGAAGTGACAGATGTTACCTAGATGAGAAAGGTAAGCCCTACACTAGGTACTGGGCCTTTTAACAGGACAACTGAGATCAATTGTGGGGAAATTTCCAAATCTTCATCAACAACTCTTCTGATCAGGCAAATGAATGGACAATGGAGCTGGTCCAGAACCACCACCCCCCACCCCACCCCACCCCACCCCGCCCTCAATGATGTCACTGAAACTCCCCCATCCCCTGCTCCAGCTGTCACCCTATTAATGCAAGGACACTGAAGAGTAATGCTGGGGATTCCTGCTGTAAGTCTTTTTAATGTCTCACATACAGTCAAAGCAATATCCATTAGCAAGCAAATGACCAGGAACAGGATTATCTAGTATCTTAAAAAAGACTTTGTAAGACACAAAGTTTTCAATTACCAAGTTATTTATTGAAAAATATTCTCTCCTAATTGATTCCATATCAAATTAAACAAGGAGTGATGTTACACAGCAGTAACTGATCAGCTCCATTTGTAGAGGATGACAATGGTCTCATTAATTCATTAGTATATTCTAAATAGTTGGAATACAAACTCAATCCACTCACTTCTTCAGAAAAGGTAAATGTAATTGCTTTACTTCATACCAAAATCCTTTTTAAAAGCTTGTCTTCATATTTAAAGATTCCTCTAATATAAAATGATACTTGGCTTGCTCACTCTGGCAGCACATATAAAATGATACTTGCTTTAAAGAGCATCCAAGCAATGTTTTGGATTTTCTCTTCCTGCAAAATTCAAGGAAAACATGATTGTTTGAAAGTTTCTTTGCTGCAGATGAAGAGCCACCTGAGATTCCTTTGTGTTTCTACTCTTCCCCTCTTCGTGTTTCCAGTGATTAAAACATGCAGGAAACATCACTTACAGAAACTAGAAATGCCACAGAGATCCCAGAGCTCAAAAGAGAGTTTCCGACAGGTTTTGAAGTTTTTGCAAACTTCAAATTAATGTACAGGATATGGGGATTTAAAAAATGACTTTCAGAAACACATACACTCAAAGGAAACCCTTCGGTACTTTTTAGCATTGAACACTTGGGGCAAGAACTGGTCTTTCAGTAGTTCAAGTAGTCAGTCTTTTCTCAACAGTTTCTTGGTAAGCGACAAACCTTCTCAAATTCATCTTCACATTGTCGAGAACACACAGCTGATCTGGACTGTATTTACCTCTCCCTTCTTTTCGTATCTGCCAAAAAATCATATGTGATTTGATATATATTACTAATTCCTTTAGAGAAGATAGCATTTGATTTTGGGTGTATTTATTTTCAGAAAAAAAGAGCTGCTAGAATATGGTGAAAGATTCTCACTTTCCAAGGTAAAAGAATATAGTGTGTGAGCCATAAAGATAAAGTAAGACTATGCACCTTGTAAACAATAGTTACAAGAACGACTGAATTGTAGCGTTCCAAAGAATAAGGTTTATGGTATGTAAACTAGACCTCGCCTCCAGTCTAGAGCAGTGGTTCTGAAATTTTAGCATGCAACAGTATCATCTGGAAGGCTTGTTAAAAAAAACACAGGGCACCTGGGTGGCTCAGTCGGTTAAACGTTCGACTTAGGCTCAGGTCGTAATCTCATGGTTCAAGAGTTCAAGCCCCACACTGGGGTCTGCTTGGGATTCTTTCTGCTCCTCCCCAACTCAGGCGCATTCTCTACAAATACATACATACATACATAAAAACAAAAACAAAAACAGATGGGTGGGCCCATCCACAGTTTCTGATTTTCAGCATGTCTGGACTTGGGTCTGGAAATTTGCATTTGTAACAAAACACCAGGTGATTACGATGCTGCTGATCACAGGGCAATTTCGAGAGGCACCGCTCTAGAGAAGTTCTTTAGTTAAAATGCATTGTATAGTGGGTTCTTCTTTTTTTAATGTTTACTTGAGAGAGAGAGAGAGAGAGAGAGAGAGAGGGAGAGAGAGAGAGAGAGAACACATGCACATGCACAGGAGAGGGGCAGAGAGAGAGGTAAACAGAGAATCCCAAGCGGACTCTACACTGTCAGCACACAGCCCAATGCAGAGATCGATCCCACGATCCCATGTGAGATTGTGACCTGAGCCAAAACTCAAGTCAGATGCACTTAACTGAAGGAGCCACCCAGGCGCCCCTGAGCATTCAATTCTTGATTTTGCCTCAGGTCGTGATCTCCTGGTTCCTGATACCAAGCTGCACTGGGTTCTGAGCTGACAGCACAGAGCCTGCTTGGGATTCTCTGTCTCTCTTCTCTCTCTGCCTCTCCCCATGCTGGTGCACCCCCTCTCTCTCAAAATAAAAATAAAAAAAATAAAGAAAATATCTTTAGGGGAGGCTGGGCGGCTCACTGGGTTAAGCATCTGACTTTGGCTCGGGTCAAGACCTCATGATTTGGGAATTCAAGCCCCACATCAGGCTCTGTGCCAAGTGGTGAGCCTACTTGGGATTCTCTCTCTCTCTCTCTCTCTCTCTCTCTCTCTGCCCCTCCCCCCCAAAATAAACTTAAAATATATATATACTTGAAAAGAGTCGAATGTTCAACCAACAGAGCCACCCAGGCACCCCTTATATAGTGTTTAAATGAAACTTGGGGCTAAATATATACCAAACAGTCTTTAATGCAATTGTGGCTTCATTCACAGAGGAGCTTCATATGAAAAACTACAGGCTGCCTTTCTGGCTAACAAAGAAACTTCACTAGGGCTTTATACCTTTGAGAAAAGAAAAACAATTAAACATCATTACCAGAGCAATGCATATTAAGTAGGAAAATCAATCGGAACAGAGGTTAGGGGTTATTTTGCTGGTTCATAGTTTACATAACTCCTCCCTACACACTGGTTTCTGTGGTTTGAAGGCTCAACCACATCTGCTTTCCTTGCAGCTGCAGGGAAACAGGGGATATTTTCTCCTTGCCTTGCAGACTCCTCTTTCAGAAGTTTCAGGGCCCCGTACCCTCTAAGAACAATTGGACACACCCACTAATATTGGTATGGAAATATCTCTAGGAGACAGTGTTACGTGAAAACACACAGAGTACTGGATGGGGAATATGTTAGTCTATGGTTTGGATAACAAAGGGGGAGACACTAATGCACATCCTTCTTTATGTGGAGAAACATCATTCAATGTGGTTACCAATGAGGCAGAAAACAGGGGAGAATAAAACCTCACTGCTTAAAAAACAGACAAACATGGGCAAAGTGGGTCAAAAGGCACAAACTTGCAGTTACAAGATAAATAAGTCATGGAGATGTCATGTTCAGCATGGTGACTATAGTTAGCAGCTCTGATCATACATTTGGAAGTTACTATGAGCGTAGAAGCTTAAAAGTTCTTAAAAGTTCTCATCACAAGAAAAAAAATTGCAATTGTGTGTGGTGATGGATGTTAACCAAACTTATTGTAATTATTTCCCTATATATACACATATCAAATCATTATGCTGAACACCTAAATCTAATACAAAGCTATAGGTCAAATGTATCTCAATTAAAAAAAACCCAACAACCCAGGAAACAAAAAAGCCTACAGGCCTCAACCAGGGATAAACCATTCAACTTAAATTACACACTGGTGAATCTTAATAAATGTTAGCCACTATTACTACATTTTTAAATACATGATGCTGAAACATAAAAATGTTAAAAACAAACCAATACTGATGTTCTTTTTTTTTTTAATTTTTTTTTTTAATGCTTATTTATTTTTGAGAGAGAGAGACAGAGTGTGAGCAGGGAAGGGGCAGAGAGAGAGGGAGAAAGAGAATCCAAAGCAGGCTCCAGGCTCTGAGCTGTCAGCACAGCTGGGGCTTGAACAAACGAACCATGAGAGTATGACCTAAGCCGAAGTTGGTCACTTAACCGACTGAGCCACCCAGGCACCCCCCAATACTGATGTTCTTAAACCAACACTGACTCCGGGTGTAACTATGACATAGAATGTGCATGGTGTGCGTTGCTGTTTTTCTTTTCTTCTGGAAAACTCTTTATGCCTCAAAAGAACTTCAGAAAATTTAAGGTATTGGACATATAAGGTTGGCTTTAGCTCAAGCAGTTACCTCACAGTTATTAAATTATTAGACATACAGTCATATTCTCCTAAAAAGTTATCACAGAGTTCTCTCCTCGAGAACTGAAATCTGCATTAGAAGCCTGTTAGATAAAAGAAATATACTGGAAAACAACAGAAGTAGGCTAATTTTTCACCAAAACCTCTATTCTTTTGACAAAGATTTTAATTTTTTTTTTTTAACGTTTATTTATTTTTGAGACAGAGAGAGACAGAGCATGAACGGGGGAGGGGCAGAGAGAGAGGGAGACACAGAATCGGAAACAGGCTCCAGGCTCTGAGCCATCAGCCCAGAGCCCAACGCGGGGCTCGAACTCACGGACCGCGAGATCGTGACCTGGCTGAAGTCGGACGCTTAACCGACTGAGCCACCCAGGCGCCCCTTGACAAAGATTTTAAAGCAACTGTTTAATTTAAAATCTAAAAGCAAAAAATACAAGTATTTTTATTTCTCAAAATTACATAATTTAGAAATGGAGATTTTGTATTTATTTATTTTTATTACCATTATTATTTATTTATTTTTAAGTAACTCTGTACCCAACATGGGGCTTGAACCCACAACCCTGAGATCAAGAGTTGCATGCTCCACAGACTGAGATAGCTGGGCACTCCCAGAAATGGAGACTTAGGTAATGGAGAATGGTAAACTTAAACTTGTAGACATGTGATTCAAGGCTGTTTTTAAAATTCCTAGTTGTTGGGGCGCCTGGGTGGCTCAGTTGGTTAAGGGTCCGACTTCAGCTCAGGTCACGATCTCACGGTCCATGAGTTTGAGCCCCGCGTCGGGCTCTGGGCTGATGGCTCAGAGCCTGGAGCCTGCTTCCAATTCTGTGTCTCCCTCTCTCTCTGCCCCTCCCCCATTCATGCTCTGTCTCTCTCTGTCTCAAAAATAAATAAACATTAAAAAAAATTAAAAATAAAATAAAATAAAATAAAATAAAATAAAATAAAATAAAATAA